GTACATGACACACACACACCCACACACACACACACACACACACACACACACACACCACATCCAGCCCATCGAGGTATGGATTTACGGTTTAGTTTAGCTTGTTTTCGGTCTATACCGTACCAGCTCTTATGTGTCTATTTTCGAACTCACCACAAAACAGGGTACCCTTCTTTTCTCACAGCCTACCCGGTTGTATCTTTTGCCATCCCCAGCTTGCTCCACTGATGAAACAAACAGCGAAATTCAGGAAATATGGGGTGTTGCTTTCCCTAGTAAGGTTAAGGCGATGCAAGATACATAAAGTGCAGTTGCCCTTGCAAGGTTAAGGCTAGCAATCAAATCACAACCTTCGCCTTTAGAACAATTCATGCCCACCCTTGCTAGCTACCGATAGCTATGCTTCGGATGCCATTTGCTTAGCTTTAAGAAAAATGCTGGTTGAGGGCACTAGCCTCTGGCTGGCTGTCCTTGAAGCAACAGATGCTCACAGGCTTCGCAGCCATCTAGCTAGACTAGTACCACCGTCACGAGCACCTTAGATAGAGAGTGTCTAACCCAGACGTAATCATTCATGAGGGTCAAGATGAAGATGGTTGTATTCTTGGCTCACGTGTCCCCGGTTGCATCGTCAAGGTTGAAACCCAATGATACCACACCGAGACTGATGGACCAGCCAATTGTGCTTCACAGACATTTCCATGCAATACACGTGTAAGCAAAGTCAGCGCAGTACCAGTGTCGGTAGCCCCTGCAGATCTCATCCTCTTTGAAAGCCGCAGACAAAGACAATTGCAGCGCCACCAGTACTGGTAGCGATGACGACGACATCAGTGGGTAGCGATGATGAGTCAGTCCATTAGCTAGGTTACCCGTCTCTTTATTCCTTTGCCCCTGTTTTATTCTTCTCCTCTGGCTGACGGGGCAATTCTCTCCGCCGTGGGAGGTACTGTATCGGTAAAATTTGATTCGATTCGATTCGATTCGAATAAATCATTCGAATCGATTCGAATCTAATCGAACTCAAATCCGTGAGGTTTCCTCACGACTTAATGAAGGGGTTTGTAAGGGGCTAGTTGATCCAAAATTTGGCAGCACCCCACAGTCAAAGAATCAGTACCAAGACATTTTTTAATGATCTTTATCCGGTGGCTTTTCACTGGAATGCAATAGCCATGTTAACCCATGCTTGTTACTCTTTCTACACAGAGAAGGGAAGGATAGACAGATACATCTGAAGCTAGCGAGAAAAAGCTACGGGTAGAAAATGAGATGGGGCGATTTTCACCTGGTAATGGAATCTTCTCCAATCAAAGAGATGAAAGAGGGGATCAATAATTGTTTGTCATGACAGAACATGGGGTATCAACCATCCTTCCCCCGGACACAAAGCACCACTGAAGAGACAGCCGAATAGACAGATGCTTTCTTGATGACAAACCACAAGACAGAAAGAGGTGGAGGATGTCACTTGCATGTGCCCAAGAGGCTTTGTGATTGTGTTGAGTTGCGAAGTCGTTGCGTCGCTGCATGAGTGTTGTGGTTGGTTGTTGCTTGTCGGGTATGGGTACAGACAGCAAGCTAATGAGATGGCTCAAAGTGAAAGCACTCAACAGCGTTGGATCCTTCTTGTAAAGGCCGGAGTACTGGTATAGTGATTGTTGGACAATGTCAGTGGTACGAATAAGCTGCCGCCATACTACGATTAATTAAAATACCACCAACATGACGGGATCGAAGCGTTGGATCTTTCTTTGGCAGAGTACTAGTACGGTGTGCCTGGCCGATTAATATTCGTGTGGTTACATCGTACCAATCGAATGCGCAGCAATGACTTCTCTCCCTCATTGAATTCCTATGGCAAACAGGAAAGAAATATCAGCTTGGCCGTCAAGAGTGATGGTGTCGAATGACTGGTATGGTGCGAGGTAAGTCTATTACCTATCAAGAGTGTTAATTAAGGTGTAGATTTGAAAGTCACCCTCATTGAATTTCTACGGACCATGGACAGGCAGGCAGATCTCGGCCGTTAATAGGTGAGTTGGTTTTATTGGAATGATTCAATCGTTGCACCTCCATTATCAAGCCTCACTCAAGCCGGCAAGCACACCGTCTCCAGTGCAGAACTGACAACAATCCCTCATTGAATCACATGGACCATGGTATGGCATTCAGTTCTTGGCCGCTGACAGTCAAGTTGGTGACATTTTCCCATCATTCCATTCCCCCACAGCCCGGAAACAAACGCAAAACTTTCATCCGCACGAGTCCTCGAGGGGCCAACGCTACCGCTACTGACTCAACTCTTGTTGTTGTTGCCGATCGACTGGTTGCTGTTGTTGTTGAAGGTGTGCCATTGTCGATCAATCACTGCCATTGTCAAGGAGAAAAAAAGGCATAGCTTTTGCTGTTTTCGATTTTTGATGGTTACCGGTACCAGCATCCGCAATGGCTGTAGCTGTAGATCAGTAATCAAATATACACCCACATTTCCTTCAGGAGTCTGTCGGTTGATAGCTATCATTTAGTTGTCATTGCTGTTGGTTGATTGTGTCGACTTATTTTGTTGTAGCTTCTCCTGGTTTGCTTCTTATGCACACACTGTCCCGTTGTTCGTAGTAATAGTAAGCAGTACCAGGTAGTACCAGGTAGCTTCGTTCAACGGTGGTGGTTGCGACTGGCAGTAGCTGCAGCAATCATAGTGGTGGCACATGGATTCGTGGATTCCAACAACTGTGCCATCCTGTCCATATACCCAAAGTATCTCTTCCAACCACGTTTATTGCCCAATTTGGTCCATTGCTGTCCCAGATGGCATCGATGCTATCCATACTGCCCAGCTACAGGTCTGACTTGGTTTTGCTTTTTAATAGAGGAAAGTCTGACTGCAGTGTTGCTTTTTGGATGGATTTGTTGGGAGGGGATGCATTGCTGTCATGATGGATGAGTGGAAGTGGTGTTTCTTGTGGGTTCAGTTGCAACAATCCCTCTGTGGTGGACGAGATGAACTATGAGCAATGCTATACCAATGGCTACTGGCCAGCTAGCGATTCAAACCAATGACAGTGCCAGCAGCTTTCGTATAGATGGCGGGAGTTTGAATTGCTCTCCACTCATGATCTGTGTTGCCAGGTGCTGTCTCGTTTCCCACTGCTTTGCTGGAAACACCATTGGTACTTTTCCCAGCCCTTTTGTCATGGTCACGGAACATGACGGGCAGTACTTCATTCCTTGGTGCTTTTTCATGCTGAGAATTTTGACCGCAGGGACACTTTGGGAGATGGTGTTGATGCTTCTGGTGGACCTTCATTATTGTTTGGTTGGTGCTTCCAATTGACAGCACTGGCTCTTGGCGGGACATTCAAAATTTAATGAAGAGGACACTACTGTAGGTAGGAGGCTCGAGGCTCGAGGCGCTCCAGCAACCAGTGACTGGACCAGTCCTGTGAAAGAACTCCATGGAGCCTCACGCCCTTTCCCACCATCTTGTTCGAACGCGGACCATCCGTTGGCAAAGCAACGGCAAATCGCAGTCACGCTGGTGCTCATCATCCAGTCCATGGCCGCCACAAAGAGATCTTTCCGAGTGTTGTTGGCTTTGAGCCTTGCCCTTCGTTCATTGCTGTGTAGTGTTGGACTTGACCTTGTCCATGTCCCTGGCTCAACAGTTGTTTCGTCTACTAGCCCCAGCTTTCCTTCTTGGCTGTCACTGTATTAGTAACGACAATGCCGCCGAACCCTGCGATTCCAATTCCGAGCTTTGGCACTGTGACTCCTTCCGTGGACGGATCGCCGGAAAGCACCAATATGCCGACTACTTGTCCTTCGAATGATTCCGTGGTAGTAGTCCGAGTCCCAGCTCGTTGGAATGTGTCATTGCTGCTACAGTTGGAAATTGGTCTGCAGCATTGGTTTCGCAAGCAGGGTAAAAATGCCACGATGACCATGCAAGTTTTTTTGGCGGTGGTTCGCAAACTGGATTGGCAACAACACGAGGCTCCCAGCAAAAGCAGCAAGCCAGCCAACCATTGTGACAAGCACAATCAATTAGTAGCTGACTTGTCCAAGGAAGAACGCTTGATGCACGATCTACTGTGTGTGGCTGCCAATCCTTCGAGCAAAGATCCGCTCTACAAAGTCTATTTCGATAAGGATGGTGGTCTGAAACAACTCCAAAGCTCGGTCGAAAAATTGAAACGCCTCTTGGCGCAGACGATAACCTTGGAGGAAGCATGGAGTCACGAAGTCTCAGCCTTGATTCGAAAAGTTGTACCGAAAAAAGAAACCAGTAACCAACAGGAAAACAACAGCATCAAGACTGCCAGCATCCTCCCGAAAGCGCCTTCCGCTGTCATTACCAAAGACATGACACTCGAGGAACGTGTCCATGCCCGAGCCAAAGTCAAACAAGAACAGCAACTTTTGAAAGAAGGGCTGACTTCTTCTTCTCTATCACAACCACTCAACGACAACAGCAGCATGATGGATCGGATATGGATGATTCAACTGGCCGATGCTCTCTGGAACCATGCGACTGGCATTTTGAATCGTCAGAATTCTACGAGAAATATGCCTAGCAAATTGGCGAGCAATTCTCTTTTTCATTCTACTACCAGTACTGCCAATCAACCTCATCGCAAGAAACAAAAGACCGAAAAGACCCAATGCATTGTCATGACATTCAAGGACGTCATTCAAACCCTCTCCAAAAGTCGCATGGGAGAAACTTCGCCCGTAAAAATTGCCAAAGCAATCTCCGAGTTGCAAACCTATTCTCCCAAATGGATTTCTGTCATCTTTGGCAGCAGCAGCAACAGCAAGGTTGGCAAGCAAAAGAAACAATCGTTCAAATGGCATCTCACCAATACCACGATCTTTATCAAGCCGGAAATCTATAAGAAACACGTTCGGGCGCAGCTGAATGGTAGTCCTGCATCCAAAACCGACGAAAAGCAACCTCCCATAAGCCAGGACATTGCCACCGAAACTACCAAAGCCGAACCCAGCCGGAAACGGGCTTCGCCGGTCGCCAAGAACCTCCTCACTGATTTTGAGTGTGCCAAGATACCCACCACCAACAAAACAGACTCGACTGTCGTCACTCACAAGGACAAACGCATCAAAACGGAAACAGACGACTCGGTGACGACAAGATCCTCCAAAAAATCCTTGTGTCAACGTGCCAACATAACGGCACGGATTGCAACTGACCAGGCGGCCCCCTCTTTGAACAAGAAACGGGAGCGGGAAGTCGCCACTGAAGAGCCTGCCATTATTCCCAAAACACCCTCATCGCCACCATCCAGCCCTGGCAAGCACCACAAGTGTCTTCGAATCAAGAACAGACTTCGCATCAACCCTCACCACACACTCATGGATGAGGATGACACTGGTGGGATTGTCATTTTTCCGAGCATTGATGCCAGTCCGAACCAGCTCAGATCGCTCTTTTGGAGATTGAACCGGGGCGAGAGAATCTAGCTATTAGGTTGCTCCGGTCCGAAAGAACATTGAATCCGCCAGCATTTCGGTTTCTATGCAAGAGCGATATGTGTCAGAAGAGGAACACAGGAATCTCTGAAACCACTTAGTGCCTCGTATAGTGGCGATCATAATCAAGCTAGGAGTTCCCACTTGAACTTTTACCAGGAATAACGCTTCTAGCTACTGTAGCTAGGAATGAAGTTAGGCTATAGCATGGGTTGAATGTGTTACATTCACGTCGTGATATCTCAATCGCATCGTTCTTCCAATGACTGGTTAGCTACAAACTGCTGCCTCCGCTCGGGATCCGACCACGCAACCGTATCGAGCGATGCACAGCCATGATGGCCCGCAGAATCTGCTCATAGGTCAAGAAGGTAAAAGCGGCCGTCAAGACAGTCTGAAGAAGCTTCGTTTGCATACCTGAAAACCACCCTTCTAGTCCCTTTCGTCGGTAGATCTTGATCAAGCAATCCAATGTCCCCCGATATGCTTCTTCGCTGGATGACGAGTTCGCCACAGTAGTAGTAGTAGTGGATTCCTCACCTTTTCTTGTAGTAGCTGGCGAATTGTCTTTTTGCACGCGCAATATTGTTTGTGCCAATTGCAATGGATATGTCAATACGGTACTAATGGCCTTGGCAAGAGCGCCCAACAGAAAGGCTTCCAGTGGCTTGAGAGCCGACGTTTGTCGTCGTCCTCCTCCTCGCAAGTGTTGCAATAGTCGAGTCTTTAATTGCTCGTAGGCCACAAATTGAATGACCGGGTTGGATACCAATAACAGCGATGCCGGGGTTCCATTCCACAAATGAGTCCATCCCTCTTTCTGGACAATGGATCGGAGTTCTTTCCACAGGTTGGATTCTTCGGCATACTTGCTATTGTTGTTCCCCGAAGAAGTCACAATTCTCAGGTTGGCGACCCACAAGGGATTGGTCAAAAGTACATTGGCAATCCCTGCCAAACTGGAAGCTAGCAGTGATAATTGGAGAGATGTTGTGGATTGTTTGTGTTTCAGTATTAGCAACTGCTTCAAGAAGGAGTGAAAGTAAAAAAAGACAAAGTTGGAGAGAGCCATGGTAGTCACTACGGGAGTCACACCTCGATAGAGTTGTTTCTTGCGATGGAGTTGATAAATGCAAGCCAAGATTCCCAGCTTGTTGTTGTTGGTGGTGCTTGCAGCCTTTGATGTCACTGCTGCCAATGACGACGACGACTTTTTTGTTTTCTGTAAATGTTGGACTTCTTGTTGTTCTGCTTTCGCTTCATATTCCAAAGAAGACGATGCCGAGACTACCCCCATGCCTTCTGTATCACCCCGACAAGACGACCAGGATTCTTCCGACAGTGATCCTTGCTGGGGTTCACTCTCCTTTGGCTTGGTATCATTATTGTTTCGTCCAGGAGGAGGAATAATAATCGGAGCCACCTGTAACACATCTACCGTGCCACCTCCTCGGGACGTTTCTTTGGCGACTCGTAGTGGCTGAACTTTGTCATTAATGTCCGTGGCGCTTGACGGCGGAGTGGCATCCCTGGTTTGCATTTCCACCCGCGCTCGTTCCAAGGGGTACAACAGCAACAGCGCCAATGCCGATCCCAGCGAGCCACCAATGGCATGAGCCAGGGGTGGTGCTGTATCAGCAATGCCATTGCCTCCACCTGTCATTGTCTTGCTTGCTTTCTTGTGTTACAGCTACACTTCTTCGGAGTCTGTTAGCTGGGAGTGTACGGTATACTAGCTTGACTATGAAGAAGGAAGACGACTGTCACTCTGATTGGGGATTGGGGTGTGCACCATGATGGCGGCGACATTGCAATGGTCGCCGTCACGCCATCAATTGTTTTGTGGGGTACGACTATACGTCATCGGCGCACAGGACTGATGCTTCGTGACCAAACACGAAATACGGTATGGTTTTGCCAAGCTGTACCGTATGGTACGGTGCACCCAACCACCCTGGGATCCTCTTGACCCCTGCCTTCAATCAATAATGATGGACAGGAGTGTGGAAAGAGCTGTCTATGGTACCGGTTGGTACAGGTAGCTAGCTACCAAAGGTTTCCGGGAAAGCAGCTGTGCCACAAGACGATAGCTACTTCGTACCGGTACCAGGTAGATAATCGTAACTGTGCGGGAACTCGACTGTCACTGTGCTGCTTGCTTCCAGTACCCTGATTTCATCAGAAACACTCTTTTAGCTAGGTACTCAAGTAGTACTTTCATCCGCCTCTGATGTCACTGGGCGCACGTACAGATAATTAGAAAAAGATGGACGGTACAGCAGTGCCCACGAGAAGCAACAAAAGAACCATTGTTTTACTTTTGATCCAAAAGTTAGTGGTTGTGTGTGTCAATCTTCTTCTTGCCCTACCGTACAATTCTCTATCACATGAATTGCTGTTTGTTCTCCTTGCGAATACTCAGTCAAAATGATGTGTCTAATCACCCTGTGATCATTCCACTCCTTCCTGATTGCTTCCGCTTTTTGCTATTCTCAATGATCATCCGAACCACTGGGATGACTATTGGTCAGAACAGTACCGCTGGATGGAGGGATTTTGAAATCTTGTCCTTGTCCGTTTTCTTCTGCTTCCAAAACTGCCATTTCTTCTATCTTGCACTCCTTCTTGGCTTGTATGACGGCAATATCTTTTCGGGCCTGGTCAAATGCATTGCGAATTTTGGATTCTTTTTGGCTTGTGTTCAACTCTGCGTTCGATTCCAATTCTTCCATCAAATCGTAAATTTCAATGCCAAACGATTGCTTGCGTAGCTTAATCTCGCGATCCAAAAATACAATGTCCGTCTGATGGCAGTAAAAATGACATGGTTCCGTTAGTTAGTGAGAGATCCAAACACATGGAGAATCCATGACGCTACCCAGTCATAAACATCGCAACAGAAGTAGGAATCCATCGGCTGAGTCTTTTTATTTGTCCACACCCAAATAGTCGTGCCGCGGAGCATGATAACACCAAAATAAATAGCCAACCGCCAAGGCTACCCCCACCACCACGGCCAATGCCACCGCTGGTCACTAACCTTCAGCATTGTTTTGGCCCCGGCATCCACCATGGTCTTGCCCGCCTTCTTCAGCCGCTCCATCATCGTCATTTGGCCGCTCATCTTGTCTTCTTTTATCTTGCCTTGTTATAGTACGGGTAGTTATAGAAGAGACAAAGCCAATGACGGTGTGTGTGTGATTGTGGGTGGGTTGGCTGGTCGGAACTTCCGCATGATTCGATTCGAATTCGATTCATTCGATTAATCGAGTCTATTCGATTCGATTCGAATCGAATCCATCCGCAATAAACATTTCAAACAATTCAGTCCCACCACGGCTTCACGGCAGTACCGGTACCGCGGTACTGGTACCGGTACCGGTATTGAAACGTGCCGACGCCATGCCCGTTTGACCACGAGAAAACGAAAGAGCTCTCCCACGAACTTTCCTCCCATCAAACAAGCTCACAAATTCAGGAAGCAACAAACAACAAATCAAAAAGATGACACAACAGCAACAGCAACAACAGGCTACACCTAGTAGCCAGCCCTGCGCCGCCTACGACTATTACGAAGACTACGACGACGAGGGATACGACTACGACGGCGACTACATGGATTACGATGACTTTCAAGCTGGAGGCAGAGGCGGAGGCGGATCGACCGGGGCAAGCCAAAAGTCCAAAAAGCGACAGAACCAACGAGGAGATGGTGGTTCCGGGACTATCTATTCGTCCAAGCACATCCGCGCCAAGGAGAACCTAGCGTCCAAGCGAAAGTAAGAGAAGGAGACGCGGAAAACTTGGGGGCACTTCTGTAGACAAATAAAGAGATGAGTACTTTTAAAACCAGCTTCAAAACTAGCAAAGACATTCGTAACACCCACCCACACCCAAACCAGTAAGACACGCATAGCCTTGTCATCGTCATGAATACAATCCCTCTGGGAAAGGTTGTGTTTCTTCGTGAAACCAACCAGCCAAGGCAACTCGTCTCCCTCTTTTGATGAGTTCGACCTGATGAGGGACCGTCACAGAGTCAAAGATCACCAGGGAGCCTCTGGACGGTAAAACATCCTCTGCAACGGTGCCGTCCGGTTCTGAGCCTCCCGCGTCCCAAGCTGGTCGGTCTTCAATGAGGACAAAGTTGTTGGCATCTTCTCCCCTAAGAAACAATCCGGTGTTGCCAGATGCTTCTTCTTTGTCGTCATTGCTTTGTCGTTGTGCCCACGTTTTGAGAAAGTCTGCCAACGAAATGCCTTGTAGCCCTTCTGTAAGCCAAGGTTGCGTCAGGAAAACTCGTTCTTTCTGTTGTGGATTGCGAGTATACAAAATGCAATGAGGTTCGGGTGGTTGATCCTCAGGGCTGAAAGACACTGGGAACCAGCTGTCTAAATAGACTGGTATTTGTGGTTCGTTGGCATCCTCTTTGGTGGGAAGCAGCCAACCAATTTGCAAATTGCCCTCGTCCTGGGTGAGTTGTTGTAGTTCTGTGTCTAACACGTGCTTCGGTACAAAGGCCCGCAGTGCGCCTCCATTTTCTTCCAGCGTCCAATCCTCTGGATCGCTCAGATAAATCAACCAAGAAAGGGAACGACGACTGGGCAACAGCCATCCTTTCGCACCCTTGAGTTCTTCGTGACGCTCATCCATATGTCGGGGAAGAAAGGAACCCACCTGCGACATGGAGTAGTAGCATTCATGCGCCAGAGAGGCGTCGGTCATGGTTGGACGATCCAAGAGACTGCCCAAGGCATGTCTCAAGTCTTGAATGCGAGAGGCAATTGGTTGGATGGGGTTGTCACCGGATACAGCAGGCGCTTGTTGCAAGCTGTCGGTCCACCAAGGAACAGGACACAGGGTTCGATCCTGATTGCCAAAGTTCTGGTTGTTGGCTTGAACTGTATTGGATAATCCGGATCTAGCAAACACTCCCGTCTCTTCTAATCGATTGATTTCGTTCCATAGATGATTGACTTCTTCATTGGATAAGAAATCATGATGCTGGTAGACATGGCCCGACCCGATGGCTTTCTTCAAGGCGGGAACATCCAAACTATTGAAGCAAGCGTTGTTGCTGGGGGCTTCTGCGAGGGCATAGACGCCACTTCTACAATCAAAAAGAGTAGATGAGCAGAGAAAAGCTACACGAGGCAACGCAAAGCATCGAACAGTCTTCAGCATGGTTGTGTTGGGCAAGCCCCCAGAAAAATGAGCGGTCGGGATGACTGATGTCAGATTGAGAAGCCAGTTAGTTTGCTTTTTACCAGACATCGTACCGGTACAGAGGCCTCGATCCTCACTTTTTCATTTCATCTTCCGGTTTGTCGGACAACTCGAGGCAGCTCTCAGCTCTCATTCTGAGATTGCTAGCTAGCTAGGTGGGGATATCTATTGCAGGCGTCCTGTGCCAGCAGCAAGATACCGGCATGAGGGCTCTCTGTCCATCAAGTATGTTCCTTTAAGTTTCATTTGTTTCACAAATCTTCCCACCTCCATCCACTCAGCCACATCAGTAGAAGAGACAACCCTGAAACCTTCAACCATGCGTCTATCACCGAGCACTCCTTCTTCGGAACAAAACAGCAACACCACCTTGCTACTCTTTATTGCATTTGTCACCTTTTGGTTTGCGCTGCTCAAGATCCCCCTGGAAATGGAGATTTTGTCGAGGGCGGCCCCACCCCACCTAAGCATCCATGACTTTTACAACCATAAGGCCAAGCACTTCAGCACTGTGGAACAACGCATTGATGCCAAGCAATCCTACCATTTCTTTGATCGCCGTGGGCCACATCATTCCGAACAGGAGACAAAGGAAGACGAAGAACTCGCACATGAAGTCGAGAGAATGGTCCATCACTACTACAAACAACATGAAAACGAACACGAAGAACACCGACATTTGAGGTCGGGAAAGCTCGGTAATCCTCATGAATCCAAGGAGGAAGATCCCTTTGCCAACGATATTTCACAAGAAGTCCAAGGCATTGTCGACCATTATCACCATGATCCTGATGAGATCTAGCTAGAAGAAACGTGCTCGAAGTGAAGCCATACCATACCGGTACCAGATGCCTTTGATGGGGAGTTTGAGTGCCAAACATCGCCCACCTGCCTCTGCTCAACTCGCGTTTCATAAAGGATAGGATAAAAAGACTTGCATACACGGTAGCATACAAAGAAGATAAAGTGCCTGACTCAATTGCTAGCTACAGTTGGACCTCGAGTCCGTAGGTCGGGTAGTCAGCGAGTGGCATGAACATACAGTACCTTTTTCACTTTAAAAGAAGCAAAGGAAGCACTAGCAATGCCCGATCTGCAACCGTCAACATGAAGAGGTGTTGCGTTCAAGCATGGTCGTGCCAATAAGCTCCTTGCTACAAGTAGCTAGCTAGGTGCGCCTCCTCCAAACGAATATCTTCCACCCTTCGAGGGGTTCGTGCGGCCAGTGCATACAAGCGCAGACATCGGTGCCTTTCGCTTCCTCTTTGGGGCGATCTGAGCAACGGAAGCGCTGGCACCTCATCCCATCCACTAAGGTCGGACCCTGCCTACCGGAACTCTTTTATTATACCTGTGATGAACATGAAATGGTGAAGTCTCGATAAATGTTGTTAAATCTACAAACTAATGTGCAATCAAAAAGAAAATGCAGTGGCTCTCATGTCCCATCAACCATTCACACACGAGCAGCCACAACCACACAGCATCCTAGTGCAATCAAAGAACAAACCAAAGGGGGCTTGACATGGGTTCTTGTAGTGGGTTTGACTGCAGCTGGCATTGACGCTGCAAAGACCATCAGGGATTCTCCCAGACAAGAGTGGATTGCCCTGAAGAATCATTGTATGGAGAGATTGCTGCAAAGAGGAAAGCTCTGGGGGGATTGAGCCAGATAAGGAGTTGTTTGCAAAAGACAGACGTTCAATGGAGGAGAGGAGTCCAAGTTCACTGGGGACTGGGCCGGTGAGAAAGCCGTTGTCAAAAGTCAGCATATCTAGATTGTTCAAGAGCCCCAGCTCTGTCGGGATGGTCCCTGAGATCAGAAAAGAAGCAATGCCATTTGAAGTGTGGGTATCATGAAGTTTTTGGTGATAGCAGCGAACAGAGCACATAAACTTACCAGTGAACTCATTGGCCCCTAGGTTGAGGATCACAGACAAACTTGTAAGCATTCCTAATTCGCTGGGAAGTTGGCCGCTGAACTTGTTTTCTTGTAGGAAAAGCAGACAAGTTGATGTTACAAGCCCCAATTCTGTTGGGAGGGTCCCCTCCAGAGAATTCCCTGAAAACCGCATCATGTCCATTCGAGACAAGCGACCTAGCTCCGAAGGCAGACTTCCTGTAAGTCTGTTCTCATCCAAGTATAGCCATTCCAGTTTCTCCATTTGTCCAATCTCTGTAGGAATGGTTCCTGATGAGACGCCAAGAGAAAGCAGCAAAGTGTCAGTGTCAGAGCTCCAACAAGTCGGAAACTTCCAAAACCAAAGAGGCTATCCTACCAGTGATATTGCAAAGATCAATCCCCAGCACCCACATGTTGGAGAAGGCACCAATCACAGATGGTATTGTGCCTTCCAGATTATTGTTGGCAAGCCAAAGAATCTCCAGGTTTGTCAGCTGCCACAGCTCAGTAGGGAAAGACGTGTGTTGATTCTCCTCCAGGGAAAGCAGACGCATGTGTGTCAACAACCCTATCTCACTTGGAACTGAGCCTCCTAGACCTGCATTCTCTTGGAAAGACAAATCTAATAGCTTGAGTGATTCAAGCTTTCCCACATGGCTAGAAATGGTCCCCTGTAGACGGTTCTTTGCCATGGACAAGGACTCAAGAGATGTCAGCCAGAAGAGTTCCAATGGGAGTGAGCCAGCGAGGCCGTTATTGTCCAGCCAAAGTTGTTGATAGGAACCATCTGAGTGGCAAGTGGTTGGGGCAGGCACGTGGGAGGGAAAGAAGTCGGACAAGTAACCAGGCAGGTAGCCGGACATTTCTGCTTTCAAAGCAAAAGATGAGACGTTATGCCATTCACACTCGTGGACACTGTGGTTGAGCCAGTGGGTGTTAGTTGCCCAATTGTCTCCATCAGTGGCAAAATAGAGAGTCGCTAGAGCAAATCGCTGCAACTTGCGATTATCTGAGAGGTAGGGAAGGTGGAAATTGTCCTCTAGTATCCAGTCAAAAGCTTTAGACTGGGGTGATTCAGAGACCCCGTGGATTGCACTGATAGTTTGCTCCGGCAAAAGGGATAACATCAAGGACTCAAAGGAGGTTGGGGCTTGAGTTGGATCGCCCTTGGTTACCTCCTCCTCTCTTGGTGCTGCTGTCGTCACATAATCGGTAGCGTTGGTTTGTGGCACCAGGATTGCCACCAAGATGACAAGGATTAAGATTAGGAGGGAAACCCCAGCAAAAATCTTGATTTTGAATTGCCGGATCCCTTGCTCTCTCTGTTTGCTCGCAGTTGTATCAAACTCTTTTGCCTGTGGTATCTCTAGGTGGGGTTCACTATCCACCAACATGGCCACTGACAAGGTACTGCTGTAACTTTCAGAATAGACTCCCTGTCTTCCACTGTTGTTGCAGACTAGCTCCACTTGGAAGTCCTGGCTGGTCTCAATTTCTTCCTTAGATTCCTCGTGGGAATCGGTTCCTCGACGGTGTCCAGAGATGGCAAAGGCACCGGGTACTACATGCTCCTGGTGCTGTTTTGCGGCATTGCTTCGGTCCTCCGAGGATGTTGGAAGTGGATTGGGAAGGGGGACAAAGCCAAAAACACCCGTCTCCAGATCTCCAGCCGCCCCAGTGGGAGGGGCGGACTCACGCATCAACTGACGCATGAACGGATGAGCATATGGCGTCTTTACCACAGCTTCCTGTGGGCCCAGTGGTCGTTTCTTCGTCGAACGAGATTCTTCTTGGCTACAGTCGTCTTCGCCATTCGCCGCTCCAATGGGAACTACCTGAGCAGTCGTGGAGAGGAGTGCGGCGTGTCTCTTTGGACACATCGTTGTACCATTCTCGTGTTTTGACTCCATCTCCGGGTGCTCTCTTTTCTCCGCTTCTGTCTCTGATTCCATCGATCCTTTGGCTGCGTTCGTTGCAGTGGAACGAGGGTTTGGTGGGAATGATGGGGGCATGCTCTGTTTCTCGCCAGTGTTCTCTTCTAAACTGAACTCCGCTTCTACAAAGGCTCCATTGTTACTGTTGCTTTTTGCCAGTTCCTTCATTGCTGGGGCGAGTGTACGGTACCAAAGTGGGGTGTAACACACGCTCCCTCTCGTCGTTCCTTCGACTCGACCTTCTTCCTTGTGTTGCGTTGCGTTGGAGGCTTCTGTCTTCTGTCTTCTGTCGCTGTAACAACCGGAAGCGTTTGTTACGGTGTGGCAGCGGGTTTTTCGCTCTTCCTGCTGCTGTTAAGCACACTTGGCACGCTGGTCGCGGAGCCCTTTGTTTGACTTTCCCTTCAACCTTCCCCTATGTACCGGTTGCTCTTTTTTTAAATCTTTTTAAATCTGTGAATGGTCACTCCGAGTTTGGGAGAACAATAGGGTCACCTTCCCCTTCCCTGACCGGTTTTCACGCTCGTCCACTCCCTTTCAACTTTCAACAGGGAGCCGCAGAGACTCCACACTCCACACTGTAACCATAGTACCGCTACAATGCATGTACCGGTATAGGTACCGTAGTCAAGTACGCTTCAACCACTGCAATCCATTGGCACGGCTGCAGCTTGGGAGCTTTGGATCTATCTCCTTGAAAGCAACATTCGTTCACCACCAAAGACTTTCCATCTCAGCTCCTGCTGGTACGGTAACACCTACCGTACATGTACAGTACGACCATCCAGACGATCTTTCGGGCTTTCTTACTTCCCATCTTCTGGTGTATATCACTGGCACTGCTTCTGTGATTGAATCACTGTGATTGAATCACAGAAGTAGGGGCTGGCTCCTCTAATGGGGTTGTTGAGCTCCTAGCTAGAGGTCCTTCACTCGCTCTCTATTATCAGGTAAAAGATGTTTCTGCCAGCTAGTTGCAGGGACATCAAAGTTTCAAGCAGATGCTAACAAGAATTGATCAATTCAATTCAACTGCTGGGCTTTGTCAATGAAATTGGCAATTATTAAAATTTTGAATCGTCCAATTCTGCCTTTCACTTACATGTATTACCATGCCCGTCACTTGTTACCGTCCCGGCAGCACCCACCACCGGTACAGTACTGGTACCGGTACCGGTACCGGTACCGGTACCGGTACCGGATGTTGACCGATCCACTTTGGGGCCCAGCGAGTAGTAGACGCGCAATCCACTCTGCAGGTTTGTTTTCTCGGTTCGTGCCATTGGCGTCATTGCGCACCCTTCCTGAAGAGTTGACCGTTGTCTAAGAGAGCCTCCGTTGGTTCAACAGCTGAAGACGACATGTTTAGAGAGCTTCTGCAGTTACATAGCCAAGTTTTATGTGCCAAAGAGCAACGGGCGGAAACCTGGAGATCACAACGGCATCAACATGCAGGCTCTGAGAAGCTGTCGTTGGGAGAGAAAAGCTCATTCAATTCTCTGGAAGCATCGTTACAGCTTGGAGCTGGCCACCACCGTTTTCCCGACGACAAAGATTAAGCTTACCCAATATTAGCACACATATCGAGGCGCATTCATCAGGTAAGAAATGTAGAGCGGCGTCAGATCCACTGGTCGTGTCGGTGTATTGTCTCATTGCTTTTGTTGTTCTGAAGCCATGGGAAAACCTCGACTAGAATCTCGAAACAGCTCGTCAGCTCACGATGACACCGTTGACGAAAGGGAACTTCCAGAGCTACTTCCAGAGTTGCGAGAAGGATCAGAGCCCCTTGATCTTTTAAAGTGGGAATTGACTGCCTTGAAATTAGGTCGTGATCTCGATGATGCGATTACAGAGCCCAAAACTCCTTGGGAGGCCGTCAAAAACGTTAGAGATGCAGTCGCTGCTGAGATTGAAATCCGAAAGAAGCACAAACCCGGACGCACCAAGGCCATGGACGATCGTCCGCTTGGTTTTAAAACGGAAGAGAAGTTGGAAACCATTGGTATTCAAGCCAAGGCAGCAGGTACGGTAGATAATCCAATTATGGCAAGCAAGAGCTTGGATAGTACGGGCAGGAAGGGGAAGAAGACGCCAGAGAAATCAGAAAAAAATTCCAGCAAAGTAGCATCCGCAACAGCTCTGAAGAAGAAGCCCCCGCTACCGCCCCGCCCAAAGCCGCCTCTTGCTCCACCAAAGCAATCCGGTGCGTCGCCTCCCTGCAAGCAAACACAGCAGCCACAGGAAGCCCAACAGGGCACACTTGCCCCGAGAGGTGCAACCCTTTCCCCGGGAACAGCGACCGAGGCTGAGCAGAAAACTGCTCCCATTAAGAATGGAGGGAAGCACAACTACTTTCAACCTATTGTCATTGATACAGTAGACAGAGGCAACTATGATGATCCAATCCTGCTTCTTAGTGGAAGCATTGTCTCATCCCCATCATTCAAAGAGCCTCTGTTCACCAACTCGGCCGATTCAGCCTTCAAGCAAGTGAGATCCAACGACATTTTCACCATAGATTCTATGGTCGAAAGGGACAGGAGATTCAATGGAGACAAGATAGTTTCCCCTTGCCAAAACAGCAGCATCATCAAGTGCGCTTACTCTCTCATATCTGAGGAGGATGGTCCAAAGTGGCCAGACGAGCTCCAGGTTGTTAGCACTGTTCCATCTGTTGCAGTGCCCACAGTCAACGAAATGCCTGCAGTCAACGGAATACCCACTATAGCGGAGCATTACGATCTCAGCCACATGGATGCAGACGACCTTGAAGCTGAATATGCCCGTTTAGTGAAAGCTAGAGGTGTTGAAAGTGAAGCGAATCTAACAGGAAGTGAAAGTGTGGAATACAGGGCAGCTGTAGCTGCTGCTGCTTTATCAGCGACCCTTTCAGACAATTCTGGGAGCCAAGAAGAGTCCGAGAATGCAAGCATAGACATGCCTGTAGCGGCATCCGCTACGAAAGAAAGCGAGACGCAAGAAGAGGAAGACACCAGCGTAGCTGGCCGCAAGTCCAAGCCGTTGGAAGAACTTCGAAAGAGAAGCATGGTCACCGAAGTAAGCAGCGGGGATCAAGATGGAAAGTCGACCGAAGGCAATGTGGACGAATCACAGCAACTATTCATCCCGGTAAAACCAAGCACCGACGAGCATGACAATCGACCAACACTAGATGGCCCCAAGAAAAACGAAGAAGAAGACGAAGAACGCGAGTTGACACTCACCCGTGATCCCTCCGCTCTGGAAGCCCCGGATCCTCGTCAAGCTGAATCTGAGGATCCGATGGAGGATCAGATGCTTAGTGCCAGCTCTGAGGGTATTGACGAGGAATCCCAAGGAGCCAACACGGATGACGGATCCAACACGCAAGACGAAGCCAACGAGGAAAGGAGTATCGCAATGAGTGTAGGTGAAGAGCATATGCCATTTTTATCCGCTATTGATGCTGGAACCAAGAGAAAGCGTGACCGCATTGATTGCGACTTTCCATCAATTGGGAACGTTGTCGCAGGATACTTTAGTGCTGGGACCTCAAAGATTACTGACGAAGGAGCCAGGGCTGGGAAAGCTGACATCAAGAAGACTTTCTTTGCCGAGGCAGGCGGGTGTTGCTTGGCACTTCATTAGGAGCCATGGCTGGCTGCTCTGTTTGATTATATTACTGGTAGTTTTAAAAGTTGTTTCCGTAGCCAGCCAAAGACTGCAACAGATCAAGGAAAAGACGGCAGCTTCCACAGGTAACGAAAGCAAGATACGTGTGAAACTTTCTTGCCCCTTGAGTTACTTTGAAAATAAACAATATGATGCGCTACATAGCTGGACAACTCAAACTACTACTATTCCATGGACACTGCTTCATGGGCCCAGTCATTTCAGGATATTCAGACACCCAAATACCGCACCTGTAGAGCAGGCAAATTCATCCCATTGGCAACCATTTTCATGAGCACATTTCCAAATTCCCATATGTCTAGATGAAACAGCTCCGAAACGATCCCAGGGGCAATCATTCTCATGTGCCCATTGAGGTACCAGTACATCCAAGTTCCCATACCCAGCTGCAGTAGCACAAATAAATAATCTCATTCCAAGGGAATCGAATCCGGACTCGTGGGCTCATTTGAGCATTTCCAAATCACCTCTTCTGGCAGCTTCGCGGCATGTAGGCAGGACTTGGATCCCTGGGCAACCATTTTCATAACCCCATTTCAGCATACTCAGATCCCCAACATCTGTAGCATCAGAGCATGTACCTTCACCTCATGGGCAACCAAATTCAATCGCACATTTGAGCACTTCAAATGTCCTTTCATCGCAGGAACTGTACATGCGCGGGCATTCCAGTCATGGCCATCGGCAAGGGCTCATTGAATCATCTGTATTAGCTAACCACAAGAAGCATCATACCGGTACCAGTAGGTACAAAGGGAAGCCTTTCCAAGTGTCCACCTTTGGTGACATTGGGAATGGTGTCCTCCTGCATGCAAAGAGAAACCTTGTGATGGCCCTATTTCAGAACATTCTATGCCCAGCTGAAGCAGCATCAGACATTATGTCATAATCCAAGAGGCAGCAATTTTCATTGGCCCCATTGAAGGACTTCCAAGTGCCCATTCAATGCCTTAAAGGAGCACATCACAGCGTCATCCCCTGCACTGCTGCAGGAGTTAGATCTACTTGCTGGCAGCTAGCTTCCTGGTAGTTGATGAACATTCACGCCCACCATTGTCCACTTCAACCCCAATAGTAACTACCGCTAGCTAGGTACTGGAGACGAAGAAAGAGCTCTAGAGGGACTGATACTCTGACTCGACTCTGACTGACTCGACTGTGACTGGACTGAACTCGACTCAACGGAGTCACACGATTTGTTTCTTGAACCTTCTCGAACTCTCCCAAACGGACCATTTCTCAAAAACTGAGGGGCGAAGCCAACGGCAGAAGAGTATCAACCTTCAGTATCTTCACATCGCTCAATTGGCTAATCACTGTCCGTCCTCCCAGATCAACGGAAACTGAGTTGGTACTTAGCAAAGCCTCATTCGTTGCTGCCAACCCCAAATCTCTCGTGCTTTCGACCTGCTCCATTTCATTGCAGTTGAGCCAGTACGCACTGGACGGTAAGGGAATGAT